GCCTCCCAAAGTGCTGGCATTACAGGTGTGAGCCACTGCGCCTGGCCTTGCTGTGCACTGTTATTTTCTGTACCTCAATGTCCTCATCTGTAAGATGGAAGCAAGAAATATCCTTACCTCTAAGGTATTGTAAAGACCAATAAGTAATTCATACTGCTTAGGACAGGGCATGGTATGCAGTAAGGGCTGTGTTAGATATCATCATTCATCATCGTTATCATGGATGAGAGAAATAACTACAATAAATCATAAGAAGTACATTTTGGCAAGAATGTAAGAGTTTTCCACTCTTCTAGGAATAGACCGATGGTTCTGTAGCCATGGTAATAAGTAACTACTTAGGCAGGTTTAAATCCATTCAATGGATCCAAGACAACTTACCTCAGTGAACATGCTTTTTTCAAGCCAACCAGCAGCTGCTCTTTGCATCTGAAATTCAGCCAGTCGGGAAGGGATGCACTCTGATGAACACATCTGTACCAATCAGCCTCACCTGAGTAACCACAGGCTACCTTATACCTTCAAGGTTCAGCCTCATTCTGTACCCTCCCCAAATTCCTGCCTACAAAGATCAGAAGTCTGCTCTACTCAGAGAGACTGTGATAGACCAAGTTTTCATTACACTAAGGAATAAATTAGACTTTATGTTTACAGTTCAGATATTGAGTGACAGTAACACCATACTTTGGTATTCAGGTATGTGCTTTAAAAAACCAGTAATTAGTTGGCCAAGCACGGTGGCTCACACCTGTAATCCCAGCACTTCGGGAGGCTGAGGTGGGCGGATCACAAGGTCAGGAGATTGAGACCATCCTGGCTAACACCGTGAAACCCCAATTCTACTAAAAATACAAAAAAATTAGCCGGGTGTGGTGGTGGGTGCGCTACTTGGGAGGCAGGAGAGTGGCGTGAACCCAGGAGGTGGAGCTTGCAGTGAGCAGAGATCACCCCACTGCACTCCAGCCTGGGTGACAGAGTGAAACTGTCTCAAACAAAACAAAACAAAAAACAAAAAAACACCACTAGTTGTGGTACCCAAATTCAGGGGCTGCTTTTGAAGATCTAGGTCCTCCTAACCTCTCTGCTCCTAAACCACATCCCCACACTAGTTAAGAAAACCACTACTTGACACCTTTTCCAAATGCTCTGTGTTTATTTCATTCCCTCTGTATGCTCTGAGGTAGGACTGACATTTCACAGATACTCAGTCCTATGACTTGAAGGTCTCCAGCCTTCAAATCCAGTAACCAAGGTATATTGAACAAAGAATCACTACCATTGAGGGCTTCATAAGAATCAGAAATCATTCTCCATCTTTGAGAAGGAACTCCCAGGGGCATGGCTTGCTCTGAGAAAACAACATTTAAAGTTCCTCCATTAGATGGGTGTGAGTGGGGCAGGTTTCCGTATCTTCAGTTTTTCCACCAGTACCGGTCATCTTCATCAAAAGAATGCCAACTACCATCAATTATGATTTGGGGCTTGAGCAGCTGCACTTCCTCCAGCAGCTTCTTTATTTGCACAGGGTACTGCCATTTCCACAGCCTGGGGAGACAGAGAGAGGACTCGCTACAGAGACGTTGCTTTCGACTCTTCTCCCTTCCTCAAAATTCCTGGAAGCCTCATCAAGGATCTCAAACCTTTTCTTGTACTCTTAAGGAACAGTAGTTAAAAGAGTTAAAGAAACCAATGACTAACAGAAATTATTGAGTTTGCAGGATGGCAGACAATAAAAGAAACAGCTTGCTGAAACATGGAGACTCCCACCTCCTCTACTTATGAAAGAACTGGCTGAAATCGGCTAGAAAAAGTATGGCAAGGCTAGAGTTTGCAGAGAATGAGCTTGCTGATGTCACAGCCCTAATTTCCACCAGGTTTTATACTAACTCTCCCTAAATTGGCACATGCAACCCATGAGGTAGCATGAATGGATAATTACACATGCCCAAGGACTTTCCAGACCTCCCCTTTTCTTCTAATCACCTACTAATCTCAGAATCTACTTCCTGAACCTTTTCTAATAGAAATACTGCCTTGAAGCCAGCATGGGGAGACAGATTTGAGCTTGACTCCTGTCTCCTTGTGAGCTGACCTGCAGTATAGGGCTTTTATTCCCCCTCAAATCTCCAATGTCACAGTACTTGCCTCTAGCACATCAGGCAGTGAGCCACTTTTGCTTGATAACAGTAGCATGTTCCCTATAGAATAAAAGTAATTCTCTGCCTGTAAAGAAACTTGGACATGTCAGATACTACGCTGAGCTTTTAAAGGCACCTGCTCCTCAACAACAGTCCTAAGTTGCAAGCATGATCCTTCAGTCCATCCATGAATTCCTTCCTTAGTGTCTCTGTGCCAGGTCCTGTTGCAGGGTTTGGTAAGGTACAGTAAGTTCTCCCTTAATGTCATTGATAGGTTCTTGGAAACAGTGACTTTAAGCAAAACTACTACAGCAGATTCTCAAAGAACGTCATTTTCTTCAGAGTCATTGTCATAACCATGAGAAAACATTGGTTTCATTATATGTTGTTT